CTGGGCTCTGAGTACCAAATCCAGGAGAGAAGCCAATCAAAACCCATATGCTTAATGGGGTTAGGGATAGTTATATGGGTTACAGAATGGATCATAATATCTGTAACTAAAAAGAGGCCAGCCATGCAGAAGCATGGGCCATAGCTATGTTGTAAATGTGAGGATATGTTGTGGGTATGTGAAGATTTGTTACAGGTTACCTAAAGACTAGAAAATCTTTTACCTGCTGTGGACCTAAACGGAGTGCCCAGAGAGAGAGAGAGAGAGAGAGAGAGCAGCCACTTGCATGATAAAAGATGTGCCCCAGGGCAGGGAAAGCTGAAAAGGCTGAACTGGCAGACCCAGTTGCAGAGCTGGAGAGAGAAAAAAGGCAGGAAGCTTTGACTTGTGTAAAGTCCAAGGACTCAGAGGAAAAGACAGATAGTAGTAAAAATAAAAATAAAAAAAGCTGACTGTGCTGTAGCTAGGAAATATTCCATGCTAGAACTGTTAAAACTAGGAAAAACTTACAAGCAAGAAAGCAGAGAGCCCCTGGCCACGTGGCTTGTGAGAGTATGGGACATGGGAGCAAATGATGTCACTCTAAGCCCTTCAGAAGCTTCACAGTTGAATTATATAACCACCTGTCCATCCTTGCGATATAGTCTGTTCAACCTAGGCCAATGCAGTCCTTAATGGGATGGCTGGTTGAAGGCATTAAAGATACATGTTTGTCTCCAAGGGAGACTAACATGATTAGCAGGGGCTGGAGGACTATAAAGGAGGGGCAGGCATTACTGAAAGAACTAGGTATGAGAAAAGCAATATATGATGTCCAATTCATTGGGCCAGATGAGACTGTTTTCACCAGAAATATGAAAGAAAGCTTAATTCACCTGGGACCTCAAGAATAGTATGTGGTTTTAATGGTTTTAATAAGCCCTTTGATGGGAAAGGATCTTAGTAAAGTGAGAGAGGCCTTGGAAAATCTAAATGATTCTGACCAGCATGTAAAACGTGTCTGTAAAATATCAGAACACCCTATAATAGATATAAAAAAGACCAGATCGAAGAAATAGTCCACTTGGGTTACTTGAAGACAAATATGGCAAGACTTATGTAAAGCCCAAATCCCACAAAGGACATTTGAAGGACAACAACTGTACAAGGGGTGGTTAAGAATTCCCCAAAGATTAAGATGCATTTCTATTCTGATAAAGGCTATACTAGGGGTAGAAGTAGGTTTTCCCACCAAGGTCTCCCCCCATCAAACTGGTGTGGTCAATGGGAGGATTACAGATGTGGCTACAGTCAGGAGGCAGACCCAGAGCCTGTTTGACTCAGAGAACCAATTGCAGTGGGGACAGGAGAAGACCCTGCCTCCTTAGCCCAGTGCAGGGTCAGACAACTGGGGCCAACACCTATAAGTGTATCAAGAATAAAAGAATCCAAAGGGATAACTAAAAATGGTAAAGACCTAACCAAATTAATGCCTCATACCCATGCTATGGTACCTAACAAGGATCAATGGAGAAAACAGTTAATACGAATGGACAAAACTTTTCCATGCTATGTGAGACCTTGTCTATGATTGATTTAATATATATTGTTCATCTTCCTTTGAGTGTTTTACAGATGTGACACCCATTTGAAAGATACCTGAAGAAGCAAAGACCAGCTATAGCTGTAAGATTCTTGGGAGTTTTATGGTTGGGCAAGAAAGGCAGAGACTGCCAAACTACACAACTGCAAACTATAAAACTGTTAAGAAAATCTACAGTACCAGGGTGGGTTGCCCCCTATGAGCTCTTGGTCAGAGAGAGATCCTTGAGGTCCTCAAATTCACCAAGGCTATTGCCATTAGTGTTGGTTGTACACTAGAAAGGTCAATAAGGCCATGTTGCTGAGGACACTGCATGTTGTGAGCACGGGAGAAGAAGAGATGGAGCTGAGACTAAGGCAAAAAACCCTCTGTGCCACTGGATGAATAGCATTCATATGGATGCAGATGGTTTGGGATGAAAGGATCCCCCATAATTGTACTCAATGATGGACCCCATGTGCTGCATACTATGGGCCTGCAAACAATACCTGCAAGTGAAATAATGACTTGACCAACACACATACAACTGACAAATTTCTAATTGGATAAGGCCCGCACCTACAGGTGAAACACACATCTGGTGCTGAAGACCAGGCCAACGCCTTGTGTCAAGACAGGCTATAGGCCCTAGTGAAGCCATCATTAGTATATTGTTTAATGGGTATAGTACACCTACTGGGATATCTTCTAGGCATCTGTATTTACATTCATGTTTGTTTAAATGTGTCTTCTTCCTTCCACTTTTCTTTATAGTAGAAGAAACACCACTGAGATAGACCACGGCCTAAAGACAACTAATGGGGAGCCACAAGAAGCCACTATCTCACCATGATACAAGAGAGATTGCCCTACATCTGTCACCCCCTCCAAAGCTCAGGGACTTTAGCGGAAGATGGATAGGAAGATTGTAAGAGCGGAGGAAAGGAGTGGGGTGTCTCCCTATTTGTTAGTTCCTCCAATGGGCGAGGGCTGACATGGAGTGTGGACTACAAGGGGGCTGCTGGGAGCCATCATGGGATGGAAGCCACGAGCTGTGGGTAGCATGCATGGTGTGGGGGACGTGCAGCCAGCCGCTCAGCAGCTGAAGGATAGAATGGACTTACTCTTGTGGACCTGGAGTGATCACTTGCCCTGGAGGCATGAGCAAATGCTACTGGTGACTATGGGCATGGCATGGTCTGATAAGCTGGGCTCTGAGTCCTCTGAGGTGTGGCTGGGGCTAGGCACAGGGTACTCATTCCTTTGTAAGTTAATAAACGCACATAAAATATATTATATATTATATGGTTTGTCTGATCACTCAGGAGACCCAGAGGAAATTCGGACCACACCTACATGCAGGCAATACATGTATACACATAAAATAAAAATAATAAAAATTTTTTAAAGTTTCTTTTAAAAAAAGGAAAGAAAATATCTTTTCTAAAAAAGCTACACACTATCCAATGAAAAAGACATGGTGGTGATTATATAAACATTTAAAAATCTTGTAAGACAAGTATGCTGTGCAAAAAGAAAAAAATTCATGGATATTTGTGGGAAAGCCTTCCCCAAACTATGAATATCAATAAGAAAGTTAAATGGGGTGAGGAGATGGCTCAGTGGTTAAGAGCACTGACTGTTCTTGCAGAAGATCTGGGTTCTGTTCCCACCACCCAAGTGGCAGCTAAAAACTGTCTGTAACTCTAGGTGCAGGTCAACCAACCTCCCCTTCTGACCTCCTTGGGCACTGTAATTACATACATGAAGGCAATACACTCATACACATAAAATAAAAAGTGTAAATAAAATTTAAAAATAAAATTCTACCAGGGAAACAGTTTCCTGAAGAGAAAATTTGTGAAGAAAGCCACGTGAAGATTCATCACGACAGAACAGAGTGCACAGGCTCATTGGGAAGAAATGGGATGGCTTCCCAGTCAGTTCATAGTGAGGACGAAGCCAATCCTTCTGAAAATCCTCTCCTCTTGAGGATATTTCTCAGAGCTCCTTTCATATCTCGATTCCTCAGGCTGTAGATAAAGGGGTTCAGCATGGGTGTGACCAGAGTGAACAACACAGACACAATGACATCCTTGTCATTAGTGTTATTAGAAGAGGGGACAAAATACAACCCAATAATGGCTCCATAGTACAGAGAAACCACAGAGAGATGAGAGCCACATGTGGAAAAGGCTTTGCAGATTCCCTTCATGGAGGGAGCCCTCAAAATAGTGGCCCCAATGTGGCCATAGGAGACCAGAATGCATATGCATGGCACAGTTATGACCACCACTCCTACAGTGAGGATAACGAGCTCATTGATGGTGGTGTCTGAACTGGACAGCTTTAGTAAGTCAGAGAGGTCACAGAAAAAGTGATGAAGAGTGTTGTCTTTAAAAAGAGAAAGACGAGTCAGGAGAAGGGTGTGCACAAGGGCACTAGCAAAAGACAAGGCCCAGGACACAACTACTAGGAGGAAACAGAGACTGTGACTCATTGTGGTGGTATAGTGCAGAGGGTGACAGATCGCTACATACCTGTCATAGGCCATTGAGGTCAGAAGGAAGCTGTCAAGATCTACAAAAATTATGGAAAAGTATACCTGGGAAACACATTCAGCATATGAGATGGATAGACTCCGTGTCAGCATATTCATGAGCATCTTGGGTACAGTGACAGAGCATAAAGAGATGTCAGAGAAGGCTAGGTGGCACAGGAAGAAGTACATGGGGGTGTGGAGGCGAGAGTCCATCCTGATGAGCAGGATGATGAGCAGGTTCCCCAGCACCGTGGTCAGGTACATGGCCAGGAACATAGCATAGCACATGTCTTGATCCTCTGGTGGGATGGGAAGCCCCAGAAGGATGAATTCAGAGACACGGCTCTGATTCCCCCTCCTCATGCTCTTCTTCTCCTCCTAAATATTAATGAAGAGATACATATGTAAAAAAAGAGTGATTGTGACTATTAGATGGTAGAAACGGTTTATCAATGATAAGCTCTGAAAGAAACACCTTTTTGAACCAGTTGTTATGACCATTGTTTCCTTAATATGAAGCTTTTTGCTATGATAATGGGATAGTGATGGTTTAGAAAGGGATGTAATTTTTCCACCTTAGAAAAAAGGAAAGTCTTATAGAGGGAAGACAAGAAACATCAGAATTAATAGTCATCAAATCAGACCAGGTTCCAATTTAAAATGTGCTGGATTTTATGATGACAGTTTTAGATAGGAAGTTAGTATATTTTTTTGGTCTTTTTGAGCCCCAGCTGTCCTGAAACTCACTATGTAGACCAGGCTGGCCTTGAACTCACATTAAGATATAAATTTTCCCAACTTGATTGAAAAGAATAAAGTATCTATATTTTTCATCTCACTATGTTAAAAATTCAGTTAAGGTGATATTTCCTGAGATTGATTGTAATTCACTTCTTACCCATTTCTGTGGTGGAAACAATCCATTTATCACAATGAAAATGGTAATTATCTTTCATTTTACATGTAGATGTTTCTGGCATTGTATAGTTTTTATCAATATTGCAATAAACAATGCTGTTCTTATGCCATTTTATATACTGTATATGATAAATTAAGAAATGAATTTAAGGAAATGTGCATCCTTGGCTTTGAGAAGCTATCATGTCAGAAGAGGCTAAGATGATGAAGAAGCCAACCTTCATGAATTCTATAAAAGGATTGCTTTATGGAGGAACGTACACAAGAAGATTATAAAAAGGAGCATTCTAAGTGGAGCGGTCAGGGTTAGGGCATCTGAGGAGCTAAGAAAAGTCAAGGCAATAGTCAATGACATGAACATACAGATCACAGAATATCTGAGGAAAGAGAATGTCTAGTTTGCTATACTAAAATTATCAGTCTCTTCTAGAACAGTAGCTAACCCAGCAAAATGTATAAGTGACTGAAAAGGTCAAATGACATGCACAAGACCCATGCAAACTCAGACAAAATCTCAGCGTGGAAGTAGGGAAATGGGCAGCAGGCCTCAATATTTGCCAAAGAACTATTGGCAGCTGATTATTACTAGGTGAGGGAGAGCTGATCTTCTTTAAGGGAGTGACTATAGATAGGCTGAGTACACACCAGTGGATAGGCTTGCACTGAAGGATGTCTGCATATGCTAATTTGACTCAATAGGCCTTAACATAAATGGCAGATTGCATGAAATCCAGTGGAGGGGCTATGGAAGGGTGAGGATGGGGGAGGGGCTATAAATATGATTAAGACACTTTGTAGGAAAGACACAAAAATTCAATAAAAGTTACAAATAATGGCTTGCTGGTTTCCAGGCAGAGAGCAGATTATAGAAAGGCAAGAGTCCCAGCAAGAATCTGAATATAAGGCTACAGCAGCATTCTAGGTAGAAATAATGCCTGGACATACATGGCTTGTGGCAGAAAATTACAGAGATTTGAAACAAAATTTGGGATAAAGCATAAGACCTAGCAAGTTCAATGTGAGCAAAGAGAATGTTTTACCTGCTTTCTCTCAAAAATTGGATACAGGTTCAGGTTGAAAAAAATTATTCTATGTGAAGATTTTTTGTTCTATTAGCCCCAAATTTGTATAGATTCTCAGTACAAGGTAAATTACTTTAAAGGTATCTGTTTATCATTGATGGTATGATGATAGGGATTAGAAATACATTCTGGACACAGAGAGAGAGAGAGACAGAGAGAGAGAGAGAGAGAGAGAGATCTAAATACATGTAGTCATACCAATGAATGGCTGAATGGCTCTGACAGGGCTCCTTAGACAATGAGCACAGGTACCTTTTTCTATGAAGCACAGGAAGATTCTTCTACTTCTCTCCAAAAGATACAAATATAGTGAAACATTTACATATTCCAAAGGATTCAAACTTCCACTATGACAATCATAAGAGTAATCCATTTAGACTCAAGCTTGATAGTGGAATATGTATTTGCTCACATCCCCAGAGACATCCAGGTAAGCGTTAATTTCAAATACCATATAGGATGAGGGGTGGCAATCCCCCATTCCCAGCTCCAAATTGGAGACAAGATAAGGCTGCTTTGTTGTAATTAACTCCCTTAGGGGAAAAAACCATTTGGGAAGCAGTCACAAGAGTTTATCTTGGGAGGAATAACTGTAGTAACTACAGAGCACACATTAGGAATTTGGTGATTCACACACTTTTTGCTTTCTAAGTTTACACCAGAAAAATACAATTCTGTGTCTTTTAAACTGAGCAGGAGACTTACTGTGATAACCAAGTTCTCTTGACTCTGGACTCTATTTATTTCAAGAACACCAAAAGAGATAATTTGCTAGGCTGGTCATTGCTGTGGTTTATAGAATTTGCAGCTGGTTAAGATCATTGACTGGTTTTCTCCCTTAGCAGCTTGCATGGTATTTTCCGGTACTATGAGAGCTAGTGTTCAGGGAAGAGCTTTCAGATGAGTTCCAGCTCAGTTTCTCCATGTCCCGTGTTGCGAGTGTGCCATGCCTTCAGCAGTAGGATCTTACTTTTAAGTTCTGGAAGGCCATCATGGGCTGTGGCAATAGCCTCTACTATTTTGGGACTGTTTTGGACTATCCTGAACAACAAATCAAGGGAGTTCCTCATGTCCAGCACTATGATTTTTATTATATAACCATCATCTACACACATGTAGTAATTTATATGTGTATCTTCCAATAGGGTTATTAAATACATTTCCCTTTGGTTTTTCACACCACTTAGGTATTATTTAGCTCTCTTTCCTCTCACTGCAACTGAAGAGACCACCCTCCTCCCTTGCCAGTTTAGGTACCCCCTTTTTCTCATTCTTCCTCTTCCCCCTAAATAACATTTGTCTCCTAGTATCCCCCTCTCTAGAGCTCCTTCTTCCCCCTCTATCTCCATGGTTTCTTTCCATTTTCCTGACTCCTACGACTACATCAAGCTATATAGTCACATCTAAAGATTGGGAGTTAAGATCCACAAATGGGAGACAACATGTGGTGGTGCTTGTTTATCTGAGCCTGTCTTACTTCACATAGTATAAATGTTTCTGGTTCCTTCCATTTCCCTGAAAATTTCATTACTTTGTATTGTGTTATCCCTGAGTAGAACTCCGTTGTGCAAATGTGCCACATTTTTATTATCCATTTATCAGATGAGGGACATGTAGGTTGTCTGCATTTCCTAGCTAACTCATATCCTCACATCCATTGAACCCTGGTAAGTGGAATGCAGTTTCTGTACATTTCAGTCTCTTGCCTAAAGTTATGTTCTCACCATTCTATTGCTGCAGATTTCACACAAAGTCATTAAATAGCCTTTCCCTTAACACCTTGTAAAAGTATTCTGAAGTACATCCCACACATCTCCATCTACTCCAGATAGAAAGCTAATATGATTTGCTAGTGTTTTCAAGAGGAAGCTATAGGAAGGTTTATAAATGCTATTCATTTGTTCTGCTTATGTTAAGGTCAACCTGGGTTTGGAACTGCTACTTGCATTAAGAAATCCTGCAAAGTACTTAGAATTCAGGAATGCTCTGTATCCTGAAGATCATGGTTGATCATTTGACGCCCTGATGATAATGTGCCAATTGACCTCTCTCTTTTCTTGACTAATGAAATTTCCTTTCTTTCCAAACCAGAAGAATTAATTCAAAGAATCAATAGCACTCCTTGTGCTGTTTGTCAGTATTGTCCTGCAGACCCTCAAAACAATACAGGATATTGCTGTTGGTCTTGGTTGCCCACCAGAACCTGATGGTAGAAAATCCTATTGCTGAGGACATCACAGGATATGGCCGCAGAGCATAGAGAAATCAAGTTCCTACTGACTAGAAAGCTTCTCTCCTGTGAGGTGGAGCTCATAGTACGGCAAAGTGTTGTGCAGGCTTCTGGGGTGGGGGGGGCAACTAACATTCTTGTTCAGTGGTGAACATTGTGAGCTACAGCAAAAACCCATATGGCAATATATGCCCATGAATGATAAAATGGCACAAATTTTATGGGAGTAACCAACCACTTCCTGGTTAGATTTGGCTTGCTTCATAGGAGAAAATGCATGTCTGGTACTGCAAGTCTGACCAAGAAGCCATGGTTAGGGAGATCACAGTCTCCAGGACTGTGATAGATACTATACAGTATTTAACTGCCCTCTAAATCCATGTTTATGTACCCACGGATTAGTGTAGGTTTCAGACCTTATTAAAGGAATGTCTTCATGCAGTGGGTGATAATTAACACAGAGACTTTCAACTTGTCAAAATGCAAGGAATAAGTGCCTATGGAGAACTCAGCCACAATGAGACATGTATATCACTCCCCTTCAACCCAAGATTCAGGGACCATCTCAGTAGAGGGGGCAAAAAGTAAAACCCAGAGGCCACAGAAGACCAGAGCAAACAGGTGTCTTCTGCACATGACAAGACTGCTGTACTCATGAACTCATACCAGAATGGGTGCCTGCACAAGATGTGCACAAGGTCATTTCAGCACAAGTAAGGAGGAACCAAGCTGGTACTGACCTCAAAGCTTCATTCATCTCTGCTAGAAAACATTCATAGTACTAGAATGTGCTATGCATGTTACTGGCTGAAAAAGGTAATCACCAACTTTATCCAGCTGTGAACCCTGCAAACTACAATAACAAATGATCTGGCAGAATATGCCCATTGGGGTAACAGTGGCACGAATGTTTCGGTAGTAACCAACCACCTTCTAACTGGATTTAAGACCTGCTCCATAAGATGCAGTCCATACTTGAAACAGATATCAGGGCAAGAATCTGAGGCTAGACAGATCATAGGCCATAGGGGAGAACCTACTACTATCATTCTGATACATAGATATGTGTTTAAACTGACTCATAATGACTTGTTGTTATAGATTAGTGCATCTTTAAACTGTCACATGAAAAT